CCGAACTTATGGGTGGAAGTGATGAAGGAATGGATCGTGGCAAAGCTGGTTTTGGGACTGGTTCTTTTTCTTATGTTTCTCGTGGGTTTCATATTTGGGTTTTGTTTTGATGATGATTTCGGTTAGGCTGGTAGTTGAAGTTATAGTCTGATATTTGCATTTTATTGATCACGAAACAAGCGCTGTTTGTTGCTGGTGCGAAGCACCACTTGAACTGATGGAACGACATTTCACCGCACGGGTCAACTGAGCACTCTGACTCTCTCTCCCCTCTCCACAGGTGACCTCTGGCGCCGCCCCACGCGCTGCCCACCGGCCCGTCTCCCGATGTCGAGATTGATGCAGCACGACGCCGCACGCCGCGTCGCCAGCAACAATGGATCGCTCTCGGGCGGATTTCCAGAAGGCAGCCAAGGGGCACGGCGGCAGCAGCCAGGCATAACCAAAGGCGGCCGGCTCGGGCCGACGCCGGGCGGCGGCGGCGGCGGCGGCGGCGGCGGCGGCGGGCGGTGAAGGGGCGGTGAACCTTTCAGCACCTGTCTGGCGCCGCTGAGACGGAGTCCGGCGCCACCAGAGCGAACTGAGACGAGCCGGCTGTCACGGGGACCGTCAGAGAGAGGAGCCCTGGGTGAGATGGAGGGAGGGTGGGGTAAAGAGGGATGGCGGAAAACTGAGAACGTTGGCCAGCTTGGCCAGGGGCATTTGAGTATCGGAGAGTTTACTTTTACAAATAATACCTACGGATTGGGGAATAAGGTTTCGTTGGCTCACGGTATCTGACTGTTCCGCTGACACTATTAAAAATAACATTTTTTTCATCTGGGTCCGTCGTCAGACGCTCCGATTCGGATAACATTCAACCCCAAGTCACCTTGCATTTCTGAGCCGTCAGCTTATGTTGTTCATGTGTCAGCAAGTTGTATCAGCAAAAATGTTTTCCGGTAATTGACTACCTGGAATTTCACAACTGAATCAGGACGAGCTCTGTTCGTCAACTTCCTGTGGGGAAACCTGTCAGGGATTAACCCTCAGCCACTGCATCAAAGAACGGCTTGACTGACGGGTTGGAGCAGCCAAAAGAAACCCAACCCCGGACGCTCAGACCGTAAACAGTAAACATCACCGGGCTGTGACACGAACGCCCTCGGAGGACGGGGTGGGCGGACCGAACTGAATGCACGGTCAGTGTGGCCAGCGTCTTTTCGAGGTCACCTGAGCCCCAGCGGCCTTGGGCGAACACCTGCTGTCATGTAAGGGGGCGTTAGGTCCAAAGGCTGACGCCATAATGTCGGCTATTATGCTCCATTTCTTGAATGACACCTGCGAGAGGTGTTGGGAAGATGAATGGAACGCTCAGGGGCCAAAAGTAGATCAAGTCAAAAGTGCTATTGATTGAGCCAGCGCTGGAAAGTGGAATAGTGGACGGGCTGTCGTGTGTCTGTTGCTGTTGCCACCAAATGTCGTCGCTGTCACGCCACATAATAAATGATAACACGAATTTGAAATGTCTGCCTCCTGTCTGAATGCGAGGGAGTGAAATTATTCACGATTTTTTTTTTGCGAATGATATAAAAATGGAAACCTATAACGTGCTACGCAAACTGGCTGTAGGATCGTTTGTGAACTATTGACGCTTGGAGCTTTGCAAAACTTTCTGTCGATAATGATATACATTCTCGATGACATGATCAAAAAGTACTTAAACTTCGCCAGACCGGGGCCTTTTTTAATTGTTTGGAATTTTGATAAGTTGATCAGCATGTATTTCGCTTTCAGCATGCATTTGCTTGCGTACAACTGCAGGCACTCCATCTACATTTGTGTCGGCGACCTGTCGGGCCCAGCCTCGCGGACAAGTCCGTCGACTAGCCGCGCTGCGGGCCTCTCAAAACCGGTAGCCCGTTCTGTCCCGTAAAATATAGCCTGATTACCATCATCGCCGACCATGGGCGTCCAACGCTCGGCGGTCACGAGCCAGTGCAGCGGTCTGGCCCGAGGGTTCCCCGACAGACGAGCGCACGTTCACGCGGTGATTGCCCGCGCGCTGTAATCAGGGCGCAATCCCGGCTCTCTGGACACAGCGGAAAATCGGTAACCAGCCGCGCGGATCGGCCGAGGGCCCACGGCGGCGCACCGTCGCACCCGCTGAGAAAACAATATTCGCGGAAGCGGGCGCACTGCCGGTCGCCACGCCGGTAGTCGAACGGTCCTTCGGCTCGGTGCGACTGCGCGGCGCTCCAGGCGCCTGCGGCGGTCGTGGCGCGGACGGAGCGGACTGCGACGCTTCCGGCGGGACGCGCTGCGGATGCCAGATGATGCTGGCTGTGATGTCGGATGATGCGGACATTAGATACGGGTGATTGGAGCTGAACGGGCGCAGAGAAGGGTTCGGGTCCGGCCGGATGTTAGTAGGGTCCTGGACCGGCCGCATGCAGCCCCCGGGCTGTTGGGGTGGTCATTGGTCAGCGACAGCGCTGGTGGAAGGCGAGGATTAGGTTTATAAGCAGACAAAGTGGACTGTAAAACTACCCATGGATATCATGTCGTGATATTTAACGCTAACTGGTCTATCATATTCGTTTTGAGAGGCATAATGCCGCGAGATGACTTTCAAAAGATAGAGATGTAGGCGATAAGTAGGTTATCATTCACTGTGAAATTGCATGCCGGGCCCGGCTTGCGGCATCATTAGTGAGTAGCTACCAGGTGTTATGAATCATGAGCCAGCCATTTAGGGAGTGAGTACAACAAAAACGGACCAGCTTAGCCGGCCGCAGGACAGCAAAGCTGCATCTGTTGATTCTAACCGACTGCAAAATGTATTATCTCATTTGCATATGTTTGAGCTCAGCGCAAGCGTCAAGCGCTTGAAATGCGTTTGATTAGCACAAAACAGATTTTTGCATAGTTAGCAGACTCTTGACATGTTTATGGTCCCCGTAAATTTGCCGCTGTCACTCCGTGAATCGGCGCTCGGTCTCGGCACGTTTCGCAAGTGTGTCGGACAATGTTTGGACGTGTCCCCACACGTGTCACCGTTTGATTTACTCTCAGCCGTCTGTGACACACTGACACAGCCTGTCGCGTGCTCCCAGACATCTCCTCAATGGCCACTCCTGTCCCGGTGGTGGTGCCCGGCTGACAAATTTGTTAGTCACGGCTCCTGACAGGTTAAACAGGACAGGTCGGCGTTGGGCTGTCTGATGGCCAGCTCCGTGAGGCGCCAGTGGGCGAATCCAGTCTCCAATCGATGCCAATGGGTGACTCCGAGAGGCGTCCTCCGAAAGATGTTAACGGATGACTCGGACAGCAACACCAACGGGCGCCTCAGAGAAGCGCCACCGAACGATGACGAGGGTTTGATCTGACAAGTAAAATATCCGAGCTGCAGTATAGAGGGGAAGCGAGAAGATTCAACCAGAGCATAAGAGCCACGTAACGCCAAGAGGTCATCCTGTCGCGTTATACCACCCCTGTCACCCAGTAACATTAGGGGATGACCACAGATGACCACGCACGCCACAGATGACCCGGCACTTCTCTTGGCAGTCTGACGACCGACGTGACACTGTGGCCAAACTCAGGAACACGGCTGTCACAATAGAACGGTTTTGAAGTGTCACAATGGACATCGCGAACCGGCCGTTAGATTTTGTGTGTCATGTTCAGAGTCTGCTCCAGTTCCATTGTAGCACCTGCTGTGGTAGTCGATGTCTAGCTACTAAAAAGTTTGTCAGTTGGGATGGGATAGTGTCATCCTGGAATGATCACGTAAAGTTTCAGCTAAATGTATGTTACAATTTTCGTTTTTCACGCTAACGTTCTTAATTCGTTCGTCCTAAAGTTGACATTTGACAACTACTCTTTAGTTAAGAGCTTCTTGTCTTGTTTTCCCTCTTCATATGCCAGACCTTAGATCATGTTACATTTCTTAGTTGCTTTGCTTATGTTCCTATAATCATGCTTACCCTTTCGCAGTCTTTCTGAAGCTCTAACCAGCGACCAATTTCCATCGCCGCCTCTGCCACCCTCCTCTCTCTCATTCCTACGCACACTATGTCTGCTATATAGTCCTCTCTCCCCTTCTCTCTCTCTCTCTCTCTCTCTCTCTCTCTCTCTCTCTCTCTCTCTCTCTCTCTCTCTCTCTCTCTCTCTCTCTCTCTCTCTCTCTCCCACTCACCTTAGACTCTCACCTGGCCCACAAACGCACACGAATCGTACCTCCAAATGGGAAAAAGATAAAAGGGGGCTCGCTCCCCCGCCGAGGAACTGAATTAACAGGACGCGCTCGACGGCACACCGTTCCGTCAGGCGCAGCGGGCTGCCCCCACCGCTGTCGCATCCACTCCCGCCTAATGAATTTATTTTTGTTTATCTTCCGGTGGGTGAATCAAGTGGAACTCTTTTTATTTACTTTTAATGACGCTAATGGCCAGGGGTGCGCCGTCGCGCCAACTGTAGCCTCGTGAGACAGCAGGGGACGAGAGGACAATGCCGGAGGATGTGGGGGTAGCTACTGTGGGAATGGGAAAGTGAAGGTGCTTCTGTGTGACCGGGACGGAAAAAGAGGAGCTGTTTTGTCACTAAGTTACGACAATTGTTTTTGCTAGCAAATAAACTTGAAATTGTAGTCATATGAGAAGGTTGCTTACGAAGAATTTATAGGTAAAGGACGCAAAAATAATCACATTAATGAAAAAGAAGAGAGACTCACGACAAAAAAAGCGCGATACATTCAAAACCAAAGCCGCACCAAAGCTGACTGACCTGTCAATAATCGTTGTTTCCTGTCCTCTTCCTAGTTCTGTTTCTGTCCTCACAGCTACCTAGTTGTCAAACGCGCTCCCTCTGAGACCACAACCGACCTCAGTTCAGATGTTGTTGCCAAGGGCTGGGGTCAAGGCAAGGTCAGCCGTGCCGCCTGACCGACCGGCCGGTCAGCCATGAGCCAATCAGAAGACAGCACGGCTCGCTGTCGCCGGCCCGACCCGGCCTAGCAACAGCTGGGGGCGCTGAGCAGCAGGCCGCAAGGACGTCAACGCGTGGAGGCTGGATTGGATTTCGGCACTGGTCTGCATTGCAATTGGTGAGTACAAAAACTGTACCTACCTATTCTTTTGTTTAGTGGAGTATGAAAGAAGCATGCCACTGAAATGAGTGACCTGTCATATGCCGTTTAAAGTACCATGGCATCAGCTGTATGGCAAAATTAGTTTAGCCGTCGTTGGCCGTTCGGATTTTCTAAAAGACTGATCGTGAAAGAGCACAGAAGCATCCATATTTGAACATGAACAATGGTCGGACATCTTAATTTGGAACTATGTTCTTTCACCGCAACTTAAATGCGGTATCATGAAATGGTCGTTGAATTAAAAGCCATGTGCTTTCCTCCCACATAAATCCTATTATGAGTTACGTTTCCCGCAGCATCAGCACAGCTAAAACAATGAACTATTTTCCGAACAATTGGCTTTGTCTGGTGTAGGCGGTGGCTGGCGATGACTCGGCTCACAGTCATCCCATGAGCGCGGAAACGGCATCAGGCAGAGCGCCGGTGGTCCAATAATTGGGCCGGTGCTCGCCCCGCGCCCGGAAGTGCCGGGGGGAGAACAATTCGCCGGTCGGGCTCAATATCTGAGCGAAACAATCCGCCCGCTAGGCGGAATGTGAGCCAATTAGTGGGGCAGCGCTCCGAGGGCGATGTTGTTGAGCGGGTACTTCTGTAAATATAAACGGAGTAAAAGTCGCATCCATAGTCGAATTTCCAGCAAAGGCTGACACAAATAAACAGCGTCTATTTAAGGGTGACATTTTTAAGCTGACATTTTCGATCGTTTAATTAACGTGTCAGCTTATGCCAGCACATCCTGCCATGACGGGAAAACGGCGTTTCTTTCATGGTTGGCAGGGGAAAGGGAAAGGAACACATGAGGATTCGCTACCAGTTTTTCATGACAGCGGTTTCATCTAAAGATGAACAGCAGTGCAGAAGACCAGGGACGCCAAAAAAGCACTTTAGCTGATCCTTATTATAGAGGGCAAGTCCTTATCTTTTTTATAATATTTTACGATCATGGTAAATCCGATCCGGTAGCTTTATTGCGGACGTCAAGCGGATCGTTCTGTAGCGGATCTGGCCACTCCAGCGCAAGCAAAGCCCGGTAGCGGACATGGTAGTAATGGTCTGTCCGGGCCTTCCGACCGACAGCGGACCTCGTCGCCCGAGGCTGCGTGGGACACTTCCCTGCCGACCTGAATGGAACGACGCCGGGTCCACAATAAAGGCTTGACACCCAACATAATGGTACCGCTCTCTATCGCCACCAAAAAGTAACAAATCATAATTATCCCGTGATTTATCGACTGTTTGTCCAGGCTAACAATAGCTCTCAATTTTGATAGCATCGCAGGCTAGGCACAATGGCTCGAAATACACAAATTATCCTGTCGCCAAGGGTCAGACGGCAATAAAATATCGTGCGTTTTTCGCCGCCCGCTGAGAAGGGTTCTATTTTGATTAGCGGCGTCCCAAATCGGCGTCGCCTGGCTACTGGGCACTACCGACACCCCGCGGCCTCCGCGCCAAATTGGCTCGGGTAATTGCCAGCGGTAATCTTATTACAACATCAGACCGGCCGGCCCCGTGGCCAGTGTTTTATGGTCGCAGCACCATTAGGCTTGTGGCGCTGTGCAAAAAGACGCCCAGACTTCGATGGGCGCCGAGATAGTGGGCGCCGGTACAAAACAGTGGCACGCTGGATGTGTATCAGTGACGGAGGCGCTGGGCCACCCGGCCCCGGTCCGACGGCCTATATGGAGGACCGGGGCAAAAGCCAGCCCGACACCGGGAATTTGTGACGTCAGAGCGTGTGTTGACGAATATAGATGTTCCACGATTGAACTGTGCACGGTTGTTTGGTTTCGATTCCTGAGAAAATCACGCAACATTATGCGATTTAGTTTTCAGAACAAGTCATTTCCAGGGACTGTTTTGTTCAGCACATTCCCAGGTCCTGAATTGACACATATGGGACGGCTTTTTCAGAAACTACGAAAGAAGGACTGAATAGCTCAACGTAAAACATCTCAAAGGCATGTTGGTCACGATTATGTGATCACCAAAATTATCAAGTAGTTTATGATCAGTACAATGGATAAATATTATGAATGATCGTTTCAGGCCAGTTCAGTGCGGTTTTGGACGACTACCTACTGCACAGGACACAGACACTTGAGCATAGATGGTAATTGGCCAGTAATTCCTGAATTATCATCTCATTTGCCGTGATATACTCATAAACTAATCCCCTTAAATACTGTAAACTTTGCTACAACCATAAAGCATTTACGAAGGCACGTTGCCTCCTGCATACTGCACGCCATTTTGCCATAAACCTGCACGCAGCTTCAGGCTTGCCTGTATCGTCTTTCTCCTTCGGAGGGAAGATGGAACGGGGAGAGAGGGACTGAATGAACTCACAGCACCTCTTGACTTCTCTCTTTGTCGTACGTGCTAGCAAATCCGCGCAATGATTTGTAGAACAAATTTCCAATTTGCCGCCGGCACTTTACTGACATTCGAGCGGTGCTTAAATCACAGAAGGACACCGATAAACCGTTCTGCTGGGTAATACACCCAGACACTGTGACATTAATCACCGTGTATAACACACCGCTGCGGGCTGGCATCGGCCCACCCGGGGACCCGACAGCGGAACAATAGAAACATTCGCACGGACCGTCCGCGGCGCACGCCAGACGCGCTGAAATATAACGCACGTGCGTGAGGGGGCGATTTCGCAACCGGCCAACTTCGCAGTGTCAGAGAGCAGTTTAAGATCGTTTCAGATAGCAGGTCTAATTTGACAGTCACCATTAAGCATAAAGATAAGAGACTTCCAATCGTGTTTTAAATGGTGTCATTCATTTTCTCATCAATATGCGTAATGCGTCGTCCGCTGCAAGCACTCCTTATTGGCTTTGCTAGACCTGTGGCTAGTAGACCTTTGTTGCTAGGCCTGTGCTTTGGCTTTGACCTCTTACCTTGGAAATTGATTGAAGATAAAAAAAAAAAAAATTCGATTACTCACTCTTTAGAATCGTCTATACTCGTACTTGAGACTGTTCGTTTGGTATTGTTTTCCCCTAACTTTTTTATTTGCAGATACAACAGGATGAAAATTTCCCCAAGTTCACCACCAAGCAAAAGACCGTAGCAACACATTCGATGTCGAAAAACCTTCCGTAGAGTAGAAGCTGAAACGTCCTCTGCTCAAAATGTATTTTAATGGCTTGATTGCAATTACCCACACGCAGTGCCCCAGAGCCCCTTACAGGACCGGCGACTCGCCAGCATCCCCTTCCCCTGTTCTCTGTTCGGCCTTGCGAACATCCCTGTCGTCACCGTCCGTCCCGCTATTGTTAGTGGGGCGGCCCCTCCCGCTGCGCCGGGGATCAAACGCCCTTCCTATCAGCCGCGGCTGACCGCCAGAGCCGGTCACTATAGTTGGGCACCGCGGCTGAACGATTGGTGCACGCCGGAGTGCAGGGTGCAGGCTGGTCGGCGTCCGACGTGGCTCCCCTGCACCATTGTGCAACTGATTGAAATAATTGCCCGGCATTGATTCAATAAATGCTCCGCGGAGCGCGGCTGAGAGCGACCGCGAGCAGTAAAGGGGGCGGGCCGCGCGGCGGAGCGGTCACTAAAGGTGGCCGCCGTCCGGGGGGGGGGGGGCAATAAATTGGGTGGGCAGGGCTCGAGGTCAGAGGTCGATCAGTGACATTGTGCAGGAGAGAGGGTAGGGAAGGGACGGGAGGAGCGGGGGATATGCACTGAAATTCAGGCGTGAGAAGAGGAAGGTTTGAATGTTGACTGAAGCTTTGAAATACTTTTGATGGGAAATGATGTACCAAGGGAGAGAAACATAATTAAATCCCATGCTCTCTTGTATTATAAAGATGGTTACCTAAAACCCGTTCCCACTTATTAAACGTCAACAACAGTAAAAGGTATTTAGACCGTATGCACTTGCATTACATTATTTCGGTCATATTTAGCCCTCACGCCCCGACCTACTGACGGAGTGACGAGCCTCCTGCCACGGCGGTTGACACTGCAGTGACGTATTCCAGCCCGTATACACAGCGTTACTCCGTGATCCCCGGCGCCCGCTCTGGTGACAAACCTATGACGCACTGAAAACTTTTTTACCATTTCCTGAAGGGTAAACCCGCCATAGCATGGTAGCTTGACACACAGACGTTTTTTACCACCTTCCAGATGGTAAATTTTACTCTTTCATGAAGAGTAAACTCGCCAGGGAGGGGTAACATGACACACAGACGTTTTTTACCATCTTCTGAATGGTAAACTCTTTTGATTTACTCTTGTCTAGAGTGTAACATTTTTTGGGTTACACTCTTTGAAAGGGTAAATCTTTAACGGAACCCTTTTTTAGGGAGTAACGCATCATCTACTCTGTGCTTTACCCTCCTACAGAGAGTATATTCTTATGGCCTACCCTTTGTCACATGGTTATGTTTACTCTTTCCTTTAGTGTAAACCCCTCAGAGGATGGTAACAGACCCACAGACGCTTCCTTCAGAAGCTTCACGAAGCTTCTGTTAACCGGAGCTCACCAACTAAAAAAAAAAATGTTTCAAGAGCAACAATGTAGGTATATTTGGCTTCCGTACAAACAATACGAGGGGCACACCAACCATGAACATTGTGAGACTCTTCAACTTATTCATACAAATTTGTACAAAGCGTTCAGCAATGCACAAGCGGTAAATAAACACCACGATACAACTTGAATGCAATTTGAATATGAATACAAGACATTCAGCGCCCTCATATTGGATTAGGCAGAGCGCACAATATTTGAAGTGAGCGACGGCGTTCCTGGGTGGTCGCCCGTCTGCGTGAGATAATGAGACTGGATCACTACAGTGCAAGGCTTTTTCAAAGTCACCAACAAAATGCATAAACTTGTAGCATCACAACAAAATTAATGTACGTACTCACAACACTAGGCCACGTGGCCGTGCACGGGGTCCTGTTAACCAGGTCAAATTAGCACCACT